TCAAGAACAGATTTGATCCATTGAACACTAGTAGCCAAAGACATGATAAATTTTTAAATGATATCAAGAACATCACACATGAAGAAAGAAAAGGGTCACTAAAGCAAAATACCATTTTGGGAGCCTTTGGCCCAATTAAATGTGTGCAATTGAAAAGTTAAGACTGTATATTTGCAACTTTGTCCACTAAACATGTGTTGCTTATGCACTTTATGTGAAGAGTCAAGCTTTATGTAAGGCATTTGTCTTAGTGCTGCTTTAAAAGAAACACCACAAGTGGGTGACTTAGACAAATAGAAATTTGTTTTCTCAGAGATAAGGAGGCTAGATGAAGATTCTCATCTCTTTTGAACCTGTCACTTGATCTCTTGGTGATTTTCACAGTGACTTGTATCTTCCCTCCATTTGCACTTCCCTCTCTGTGCCTAATCTGCTTTTCTGATACCTCAAAGGCAATTGGTGTAAAACACACCCTGTACTGATATGATCCCATGAAAACAGCCAGGAAAGTCCTAGTCCCAAAAGCATAGTCGTTTAGGACTAATAACATATAATGTAAGGGGTCACAAATCAATTCATAATGGCAAATAAAGTGAATGTTGCGTGTGAGTTCCAAGAATCTCACAGTCTCTAGGGGAGGAGGTAGGGAGGAAGCAGCAATAGCTGACTACAGAGAATTACCTGAGTAATAACTAAAAGTGGTGTTTTTCTGTGGGAATTCAGGAGAAGGAGTGACCTACTGAGTGAGAGGAATCAGCCAAGGTTTCCCAAAGAAAGTGACATCAACTTGGACCTTCAAGGATTAGGGTGACAGCTCCGCCAAAGCAGTATGGACAGGTGGAATCACAAATATTGACCTATTTCTCAGGGGGTGAAAATATGCTCATAATTGTAATTGAGTTTATTCTGATTTATGGTGACCTTCTGTGTATAAGGCAGAATTGCTCCATGTGGTTTGAAGGCTATCACCTTTCAAAAGCAGATGGCTAAGCTTAGTCTTCCAAGGTATCTCTCAGTGAATTCAGACTGCCAACTCCCCCATACACACACACTACTACTCTGGTGATAGCCATACACCTGTGGGTTACTAAAGGAGGAAAGAACGTGCCTCATGCTAAATATATTCACACCTCTACATGGTAAGACATCCATTTGGGCAATGAGACACTAAAAAGGATGACTTATTCTCAAGATTCTGTTAGTCACAGGAATGTGAATTATGCCCAAAGGACTGATCTAAGCACGAGCTCCCCAGGTAATACTAATGGGCAGCCAGAATTAAACATCACTCTTGCAGCTTCAAGGAGCCCTGGTGGCACAGTGGTTAAACACTGAGTTGCTAATTACAAAGTAAACAATTCAAACCTAACAGCTGCACCAAGAGGAGAAAAATGTAGCAGTCTCCTGCTTGATACACACCTTCATGAAGAGATCACTGAAGATAAGGGTGCTGCAGCAAAGTCTGGTGAAGAAAGTAGATGGTGTCCAGCTATCAATTGGAATAGTGTCTGGGGTCTTAAAGGCTTGTATTCAAATAAGCAATCATCTAAGTGAGGTATCAACTAAGTCCACACAGAAGAA